TTATTGCATTTGTACATGTATGCAAGCTGCTTATGGGGAGCTTAGCAATCCATATGAATGACGAGCTTCACAGTAAGCTATAAAACTGGAAGCTTCAGAGTCGAGTTAGCATTGTGAAGAACACCCCCTTCAAATTTCTGTCACCAGTTTTCTTGCTTGAATTCATTTGTTTGGTTCATTGAACCGCCACGGCATGCATACACTCACTATTCACTCAGTAAAATTTTGGGCGTAATAAGCGTAATGCCAATATTGGAACGAAATTAAAAGGATGGCTGCACAAATAATTTTACCAAATAATTAAATCAACGGAAGCACAATAACAGTCCTGTATAGAGCTGCACGCATTAACACATACAAAAAGATCAGTGCTGGGTGGTGACACAACACGCTTGCCCCGAAAGTGAGCAGTTGAGGTTTGTGCAAATACAAGCTTGCAACAGTCAACTTACATAACGCATACCGACGGTACACCTGTTAGTGTGCACAAAAATAGATTACAGACTTTGTGAAAATACCGGTGCCAAAGTACCGTCAAGCATCGGAGAGAGCACAGCGCAAAAGAGGACGTGGAAAAAGAACGGTGACTCAAACAGCGTTGTGTGTGCGTCACCCTTTCTAGCATCCGTCATCTTTTGCGTTTCGTTCCCTCCAACGTTTAATCAACACACCCAAACTTCAATGCTATACCAACGGGCATTTAGGACAGACATACAAGACACTTCAGTCGACGGGAAATAAATTTTCCCGCACATAACATCCTGGATCGTATTACGTAAATGATCATGTGTGGTTTAGGTTTTGACAAGAGCCGCTTTTCCACACTCGGTGGCCGAGTGCTAAAGTCATCGCGCTCAACACGTATTAGTGCGAATTTGAAAAACTAAGCCCTAACCTTGCTTAGATTAGAACGTTAGTAAGTTCACATATCTCACATAACCACCGCAGAAAGATGGCCCACCGCCGGTGCAACTTTGAGTCTCCTACATCCGTATCGTTTGCCACCTGTGTAACACTCGCGTATGGCATAGTCGTCCGCCAAAACTTTGAATAGAGCGTTCCAGTCCTTTAAGAGCGCCTTCTCTGTGACGCATTTTTTCTAGAATTGGTCGCATGATTCCGCATGCTTCACAGACCGAATGAGTGACATCTTTGCCTTTCGTGTGTGCGCCTATGAACAAAGAACTGAACTATGTTGCTCGGTATAGAGGTCATGTGAAGAGTTGGAGCACTTTTGGAGAGCCACGAAGTGCAATATGCCTATTGCGCAGAGCATTGTGTCAGTTAGTCATAAACGGGAGATAGCAATAAAACTGAAAGAGCGATATTTCAGATGAAAACGACAAAAAGACACAACTCTTGAGCTACTGGCTTCAATAAATATTTGTACAAGGAAGCCGCTTTTGTAGCTTACGCTCGATGTTTAACACAGGTAGAACTGCAATGAAACAAACCAGTCACATTTTGTCCATATTGACAGGCGGTATAACATCTTAATCACAACGTGTTTAAAGTTCTTCCAAGCCACACACTGCACTCATATGCGTAAAGTTGGAGATGGCTTCGAAGTTGAACTTTTCCAAGTCCCAAGACATGCGTACAGTAAGGAAAAGCTTAATCAAGGCGTACAAAATAAATTTTGTAAGAACACCTCGGGCAATGTGGTCAGCTGAACCATGCCCAACGCTTGCTAGAAGTGCTGGGTGAGTAGAACAAGTTAGTGCCTCGAAAGTGCCGCGAGTAAAATTTGGCCTCTCCAACACTTCAGGCCTAAGCACACTCAGTGCAGTGCTGCTGTGTGATTTGTGAACCTTCACGCCCTTTAATTTGTGTACGAAATGGCCCAAGTCATGCAAGTTTGCTGTAGCGATGAGAACAATATCGCTAGAATACACAAGCGAAAAAAAACGAAGCTAGCAATTCTTCCAATAGCTGAATGAACAATTTCTCGAGAATTTTTTTTATATTTTTTCGAAGGTATCAGTTTTTTTTACCCTAAAGCCCTACGCTTTGCCATCGAGAATTGTGCATCACTTGGTAGAAAAAAATTGACTTTTTACATCATTGCCCGGGCGATGGTGTCACATGCTCTTACCGGTCAATTCTGAAGCAAATGTGGAAAAATACGTCCTTTCTTAAGAACCACAACCTCGTAGAGCCGGACAGTCTGTATTAAGCCGCACTGCCGAAAACGTTATTACTCGTATCACAACCACACTCATGTTGGCGTGAATATAAAAAAAAGCTTAACTATAGTTAATCTTTTTTAATTCATGCGAATTCAAGGATGTCATATGGTGCAAACGCTTTACATTTTATTTCCCCTCAACGTTCGATTCCTGATAACTTTGACCTCAACCTTCTCATGGAAACTCTGTCTCAGCACAGTTCCTCGCTCTATGCGCATGCTAGGCAAAGTTAGCGAGGCCATTGATATGCTCAACATAATGCTCATCGTTATACAACTCAACTAGCGCTCACAGGCACTGTTGCTACACCGTTAAAATTGGTTACTGTACATACTGTACAAACTGTCGCAACCACAGCACTGAAATTACGTTGAGATAGCGCACCCTAGTGCTTGCGGGCCATACGCAATTCACTCGATTGCGCGGCAGAGTTGAAACAACGGCTGCGTGGCGTTCGGAAGACGCAACACCATCCGTTCCGAAAACCTGCAGGCGAAGTAGTCTTTTTCTACATCGAGGTGCCCGTATTACTGAAGAGAGGACAACCACCAGGCCTTTGCGAACGGTGTGAATAAACGCACATCCGAGTCTCTACATGCGCGAGTTGCTGCCCTGTTCCATGGCAAATGTAAATGTCATTTACAACGAATGTCACTCATGCTTAATGTCGCTCCTTCGTTGTCATGGGTGAAACACTAGACGTTTTGAAAACCACATTTTCAGTCAAATTAATAAAAAAAACTCATTTGCATTCCAGACTGGACTTCGTACGAAGTCTCCAAGCTACACGTGTGCTAATATCATCATTCATTAAACACGCTCATTTTCCAATCTATTTAACCAATATAACAGAATAGAAAGTTGCGCGAGTTCGTGTATATTCATAATAAAAGCAAGTTGCAAGATATTGCTAAGCAAGTTGCAAGACTAGAGGAAGCAGGATTCCCCCCTAACATAATTGTGGCTGTTTGCGATAAGTTAATTGGTGGTTTAAAAGGACGTGCAGCTAGGAAAATCAATCAGGAAAAAATGAAGTTCACAGCAATTCCTTATATGCATAAACTGGCACATGGGTTAAAAAATGTTGGTTCCCGCTACGGAGTTGATGTGGTTTTTAGGGCGCCCAATAAATTGGGAAAGATATGCGCATTGGTGTCAAATAAGCTAGACAAGAAGGACAAGCCAGGTGTTAAGAAATGTGCCGTAAACCATAGAAATAAGTATGTGCCTTGTGCTGTGGGGGTGGTGTACCGCATTCCTTTATCTTGTGGCCGTCATTATGTGGGACAGACGGGCCGCTGTATCAATAAAAGGTTGCGGGAGCACTATCTCTCTTTGCATAACGGCACGCCTTCCCATTTGGCTTCGCATTGTGCCACGTGTGGGTGCACTCCTGATCTGTCTAACACTGTTATTATTTTTAAGCACCACGATCAATTCACCCGTGAGGTGTCTGAAGCCTATCATATTAACAAGTCACGTGATGCCTGCGTAAGCCAGACCTCGGTTACATTGCACAAAAAAGAGTTCACTTTTATTGATGAGCGCATCATTTAATCTCGTTGTACCTCACTTGTCATGCGCGGCTATTACTTTTTAAATTCTTGTTGCTCGGATTAAACTTTCAGTTGTGAGTGCAGCGCTGTGTGTGGTTCTCTTCTTTGTCTCTGTCTTTTTGTGCGCCGCTTTTCTTTTAATATTAACTAAAGTAGTTTGATCGCTACAGAAGAACAGTAGCATTTTCCCCGGAACTCACCTTATTTCTCGGAGACAACATCTTTTGGGGGCAAGTTTTTCCTAACTTTCTTCTCATTCGTTGCCACCACACGGGAGGCTATAGTCATAGTCATCATTTTTCAATACATGACATTGCAGATCATTATCGACGGCAACGGTGCTTTCAGCCACTGCGGAATCCATCTACCATGTACTTCACTGTTTTCTCCTATGCTACAGCTTGCGCAGGTCGTCGCCGTGATGGCCACGACAGCCCGTCACGACAGAGTGGCCACCTTAGCCAAGACGGCCACTGACCTGGCCACGCCCGAAGACGCTGGCCTACCCCTTCACCTAGCCACTCATCTAGCAGCTTAAAACCATGGCCTAAACAGTCGTCACACCGGAAGTATACGAAGGTTCTGTCGGAAGATGTCACACGGTAGTGGACCTGTTAGAAGACTGATTCTCGTTTCCCACACCTCCGCTGTTTTTTTCCATTCCTCGTTTATAACTACTATTCTGGTAATTTATGCCTTCGCAAGGGTAGCAAACAGGTAGCTTAAATAATATAACTGCCGAGATTTTAGGTTCCAAAACAACGATGTGTTTGTGAATGATGCCGAAGCGGAGGGCTCCAGAAATTTCGATCCCCTCTAACGCCTTAACCTGCGCCTAACCTAAGCACACTGGCGGCTAATACTTCGCCTCCAGCACGGCCCGGATTCGATACGCCATCTTCGGATCAGCAGCTAAGCACGATGACCACTAGACTACCAGGGCGGTTTAAACCAGAAGTCTTTCTTGCAGTTAACCCACCTGTGATTCCCTCCCTCGCTCTTATTTGTCCACCTGTTGTGCTCCCTCCCTTCTCTTGTATGACAGCACGCTCGAATAATTGCATTAGGTTGACTTAACGCGAGTCAATGGAAATGACATTTCATTCACCATGTGACAGGGGTATCAGAGCTCTCGCTTAATTTGGCATCGACGTGATATTTCCTGTGTGCGCATTTAGGCTCGAGGAGGTTACAATAGTGCGAACGAGAAAAAAAAAAACACTCAAGCCGAGTCTCCTCCTCGGCCCATTTACCACTAGCTGTAGTAGTAGCTAGTCGTCGACCTCGTAACGGGTGCCCTCGGATAAGTATCGCTGTCGTGGTGACTTATGCCGGGCCTGCTGGCGTAGCGCACGACTTCGATGGTGTGCGCGTGCCTCGTCACCGAGCACCCGGTGGAGGTGTCCACTTGGTCCACTCCCACTCCACCGCCGTCGCAATCGTCGAAAGAGCCCGACAGCGGCTCTGACAACTTCGTCTCGGGCTCGTGCGGTTCTTCGCGACGTCCCTGTGCGTACAGGCGAGCCGACAGCACCGCCAGGAAGGCGACGACGCCGAAGCCCAAACTGAGCAACACGTAGAGGATAAACTTCTCCTTGTTCGCTGTTGGTCGGGACAGTGAGGTGGAGGAGAGAAATAGAAAAACACACAAAAGTTCAAAAAGGTGGCTAGGCGGACTTGCTGTACGTGCGCATAGTTACATATACCACAAAACACAGGCGTTGAGTTTTGTAGCCTCTTCTGTGCCCCGATTGTGCGCTGTTTCAAATGACGTGAACGTTATAAAACAAAACATTTTCGATACGCCAACCACTCATCCGAGTGAAGGTAGATAAAAGACAATAATTTCAACGCCAGGAAAACATCATAACGTTGATGAATATCAACAGCAAAGCTGTGAAGGCTAGCCTCATGTGTCCGACCTCATCTCGAAAGATAAACGGGTACATACCCGAGAAACCGGGTAAATTCCATCGCACATCCTTGGTGCACTAAAGAGCTGAAGACAACGGTTATGCGAGCAAACCAATATGTGCAACAGACCTTCATGTAGCCTTCATAAAAACTGTCAACTTAAACGGATATGTGATATAGAAGTCGCGTTAATCTCACAACTCACAATTTGGGAGAGCAAGGGGGGGGGGGGGAGAGAGAGAGATAACAATTGATGCCCGCATAGCCTACCAACCTTTCACAATATATACTTGAGAACAGTAGCGCAATAATGTACATACAGACGAAAAAGGAAACACGCCCAGAGTATTCTCTTTCTCACGTGTTCTTTTCTTTTCCTCTTTCTTTTTTCCCGCAATCATACTCAAGTGACGGACTACCACCTTCCGTACAATGCTGCTCACATTGAGTACCTTTTACGAACTTGTAAGCGGCCACCCATTCCGTGATGAAGCCGATCGCCCGGTGTCCGCTGCCATTCAAGGTGCAGTTGACGTGTTTGTCGTCCTCCGCGGTCCTGTCCCTCAGCATGTCAATCTTTCTGTTCGACGGCTCCGGCACCAAGTTTTGGTCCATCGGCCCAGCTGGAACAGTAAATCCATGCTTAGAAATCGGGTATTTTCGGGAAGACAAGTAAAAAATAGGGAAAATCGTAAATGCGACATGTTCATCTCAACGACCGGCCATACAAACGTGGAGATGGGATACAGATAGATAAGGTAGGGAGGACCGCCAAAGTCACATTTGGTTTACTGCCTTACGAAAGTGGGAAAAGGGTAGGTTTAGGTGTTAAAGAATGAAATCAAAGGTGGGGAAAAGAGGGTATCACGGTTTTCTTTTAGTCTGCAAGTTCCGTGGGGTTGTCACACCATCCAACACGATACATGGCGAGTGAAGCATGGTAACAGTCAATACGGGTTCTATTCCCTTCCTCTGTGGCTGCGTTGCGACGGGAGTTAAATGAGAAAACAACCGTGCACTTTGATTGGGGTCCATGCAAAAGAACAACGGGTGGTCAAAGATAATCCGGAGTCCCTTACTAGGAGTTGCTTCACAAAACTTAGCATAGCGAAACACCAGAAGAAGGAAAACAAAATTTCTCACAGAGTCGAAGAACAAGAAAATGGCGCAGTGCTTGCACTTTTAAACATTTCTTTTAGGATTATTATTATTTTGTCGGGTAGCTGAGTTCTGCCCGATACTCTAAAGCCTATTTAATCTTGAAACCTGCGCAGCCTACCCGGTAGGGACTTGGCAGGTGTGTTCGGCCCACCTTCTGGACTGGAGGAAGATGGCTGATAGCCCGCCTCTTCCACATATCCTTCTTCCTCCTCATCCATCCTGTCCTTGGGCGAATCCGTGCCGCCAATATCGAGCTCCTTCAGGATTTCCTTCGGCGCTGCAGGGCAAACACGAAAGACAGCCTCAAACAATGTGCACACTAAAGGCCTGACCACACGATTACGCGTTGCAGCGAGTCAGCCCTTGACTTCCTGACGCGACGTCCGTTTTTCTCCGTATAGGATAGGGGGGATGCAGCTTCGTGAAACCGCACACCCTGTCTCTCCACAGGGAGAGGATGCGGCACCGCGTCAGAGAGCCACTTGCTGACGCGATGCAATGCACACGTGTGTTCAGGCCTTAATTCGACGCGCAAAGCACCACACTCGCATTGAAAACTAAAATAACGGGTTGTCTTCATACCTCCGTCTCGACTTCACGTGCTACGTACGAATTCTAGAGGATGTACTAAAATTACACGCGAGTACGGCATTGCTTTGTCAAATGTTGCGCATCATGCGTCTCCTCGCAGTGCATTTAGCATAAATGTTTCGGAAAACTTCGCCTACTGTTAATTCCTACTAGAACGTTAAAAGTGCACGGTCTAATATTCCTTACTTCATTGTTAATTTAAACTTCAGACAGGTTTAACAAACCTCCACGCGATATACAAAAGACTCATGTATACCACTCGATCTTTCCTACAAATAGGATGTCCGAGCCCCGAATCAAATGTTCATTTCTGCATTCTTCTCTTCCTATACAAGGCGTCTTATCATCTGGCGACTCTTATTCCAGTTTTTCATGAAGTTTCTGTAATTGCTTACCCTAGCAATTAGTAAACCATATGATCCCGCTGGCGGGGAAATACGGATTACGCAGTACCATATAGGGCTAATAGCCGTAACTTGAGCAAGATTTTCGTTGTTGTTGTTGTTGTCGTTGTTGTTGTTGTTGTTGTTCATAGCTTGGCCAATTTTATGTTGTAATTAGCGCTTTTGTCTGTCATTCAATCATTGTCCGGTGTCCGGCGGTGTTTGTTCACTTCTTAATCATGTACGAACAAGCACAATTAGGCGCACTTCTGTAATGTAACGCTTTCGTTAAAAACTGACACGAGACACACCTTAATGACTCCACCCAACAGTGCAGAGGCTTACCGCAGGTGTAGACAACCTTGAGGTAGAGCCGCGAGTCCTTGTGGCAGCCGGGGTTGCCGAAGGTGCCCATGGTGGCCGCCACCGTGCATCTGCGCCTCCCGTGACACGACGTGAGTACCGTCTCGGTCGCGTAACTCACCTGGCACACTGCGACACAAGGCCGGTAATCGTGCAGACTTCGACTCTACATCGAGCGAAATTTGTAACCATGTTCATTGTGACATCTATTATTATTTATTCGGATTTAGTTACGTCGGTACATGTCAGAAACATAGGCAAAATTTTGGGGGGAAGGAGAAGGGGGGGCGGCACCTCTGTGATTTCGAGAGGGCACCCACTTGAAATTGTGATTTTTTGCTCTGTATACCACGGTGAAAGAAATTCGAGGGGTGGGGTGGGGAGGGGCACGGGTTTTTGTGTTTCCCCCCGCCTGGCTACGCCACAGGCACGTATGCTAAAACGGTAACACAGACGACTTTCATGCATTTTCAAAACAAAAATTAAAAAAACACTTCTTGAATTGCCATTTCTCCTTGTTTCAATGTCCTTTTGGCATTGATTTAGTGCACAAACTGTACAAAACTTAATAAAAGTCGAATTTCTAACAAACTGCCTAGCAGTACAGTCCACATAAAAAGAGACAGCAGAGCTATTCGGAAACAACTCGCCCAACTGTCAACGCTATTGCTACGAAAACGTCTAACTACCGCAAAGACTCATACTAAATCCACGGCCATTGTATGTAAACATATTGCATCTACCAGCCATGCTAGGGCTTTCGTGCAGCTGACTTGCGCTGCAACGGGCATGAGGGCGAACGTTCACCTCGACCTCGAGCAGGCGGCATCTCGAAACATCACAATCCAGCCTTTCTTGACGCTCAAAGCACTGTCTTCACTTTACTCACTCCACGTAAATCGATTATTAGGAATACAAAAACATGGTTGACCTTCTGTAATATGAATCGCTATATCTCGGAAGTAAAACGTCTCTTTATGTAACTAGTTCACTCCTTACTATACATTGCTATAAGATAGTTGATATAAATAGAGTGTCTGTTGGTGTTCGACAGTTGAATCACAGTTAAAGACTATTACTCATCGTAGGCCAAGCTTGGACTAAGGTGGCATACTCGCTGCATGTAGAGTTACTTAACGCCACTGCCCGATCAGAGGGAAACGCAACGCGCGTTGTGTTCCCTGGCGAGTCCAAGCGTGGAACGCCAAGTTGCATCCAGGTGAAGCTGGCGCGTTGCAACGTGCGTTGCAGGCCTATTTCAGGGGCAAAGTTCCTTGTGGTCTAGGGCAATCCCTCGTCCATCCGGCGTACCCAGTAGCGTCTCTCTCGTCATAGAATAGATGAATAGATGGCGCTGCTCCATAGAGATGCATGCACACTGCAGTTGGGTGACAATATACAAAATGGCGCTGTACGCATTCTGTGTCGTCATCGCTATTTCCCGTTTGGTTTTCTAGATGGCGCTGTCGTATAGAAATATGTGCAATATGGCAGTTAGGTAAACGGACACTAAACAGCGTTGGAAGTGCCCCTGCTCTCTGACTGGCTGTTGCGTGGGGCTGCGCGAGACTGCGCCGGTGCGCCCATCATCTCTCATTCTCCTGAATTGTCGCCGTACGTGTCAGATCACGCTTGGTGGCTCGAGAGGCTGCCGCCAAGCGAGCGCGGCGCTGGGCAGATTCCGAGGCGGTGCGCGCCAACGAAGCCGCTGCGAAACGGGCTCAACGAGACACAGACCCTGAAATTCGAGAGCGCAAAGCGGCGGCGAAGCGCACGCGGCGCCAGGCGGACTAGGATGCTGCTCCTCGGAGGATACACGTTATCACCGAAAAACCCCCGAAGCTTTTCCCACCTCACCATCATCCACTTCTTGGAGATGCTGGACTCTGGTATAGATAAATGATATTAGCCACGCCGACGCTTTGGGTAAGGCCACCACCTGGCCAGTGTGTTAAGGCGTTGACAAAAGTTCACTTCTCTTATTGGAAACACGCCCAATAGGATGGACGCAGAGAATTGACGCGTTGAAGGAACTAGTCATGGATTTCATGGTAATGGTGCATTATTACATTTTACGAAGAGTGCTTTGAGAGGACAGTGGTAGTTATAAAAGGCATTTTGCTTTAAGCATATAAACTGTGATACCATGGTGAAGTGGATATCGTTCCCGGCAGCTGCTGTCGCCTACCGAAAGGCCATTGTTTTGACTCCTGTAATGGCACTTTTTGTGTTCCGATGTGTTATTTTTAGACATCATTTTCGTGACGAATGTACATCCCTGAAATTTCGGTGAACTCTAGCATACAACACTTTTGTGTTAAAATTATACTCTCGATCAAAGCAATAACCAATCAGTTGAAAATTTTATCGTTTGCACTCAAGTAACAGGCGTGACAATGTACTGGAGAAAAAAAAACGCCTACCGCTTATCTTGAAAGGCATATCATACTATGTCTTGAAGAGCACGCATTTATCTGGACGAACGGCACCTCTAAACATGTTTATTACACAGTGCCTTTTTGGACTCTTAGACTTGCTGCATTCTAATACAAGAAATCGACATCGATATCCATACTCTCATTTCTAAGAGCCACGCTCATTTCGATGGCGTGGACGTAATTGGTCGCATTGTAAACATCCAAGTCCAATTTAACGACAGTTACCTGTCTGTTATTCAGTTTGACTTTATTACAATTCAACTTACAATGATTGATACAAAACATGTGCGAACGGTGCTAAAAATGTCGGAATTATCCGAAGTTTATTGTAATAACATATAAATTATAATGACAAAATCAACACATTAAGGAAAAGCAAAAAGCGTGTGTGAATATTTGCCGTCAGTGCTGACTTGCCAATGTATAAGACGCTCTTTAAAGAGACACGGCAAGTCTATTATGTCTCCCACCATGTTTATCGATGTTTTGTACCTATGTGGTAATAAAATTTAAACCTTAAATGATTTTTCGACGAAAATACAATCATCTCCAACTCCAAGGAGGGTACGCACGTCTCTTTCAGAAGTGCATATATGGAGAGCCCGGACTAACAAAAAAGTGGAAGGACACTATTACTATGTATGACCTCATGGACACTCAAAGAAACGCACCGGACAGCTTGACGTCCTGCCGCTGTGGGCACTCGGGCACACCCTTCTCGGTTCCTCCGAAGTTTGCCGAGTATACCACAATGCGCAGATTCTTGTGGCAACGCAGGTTGAGCACGCCGTTCTCGCACACTATCCTGTTGGAGAACGTGGCTGTAAGAGGGGAGAGTGCTCGTCAATCAAACGGTGTATGCGAGACATAAAGAACAATAACACTGGGAGAAAGCCTCGTCTGCTGCCTGTGTCCTAGTCCATGTCTTTACGAAGAATTAAACATGGACTAGTTCTTGATGTGCTTGGCGAACACACAGAAAACAAAAAAGAAGCTTTAGAGTGATTGAAGTTTATTAAAGCACTTTGGCTAATTTTAAAGATAACAGTGCAAAAAGCACATAGTTTCATAAAGTTAACTAGTTGGGACTCCGACGCTGCGATCGTTCAGCGAGCACGGGAATGATGTGTAATACACAATTTTGCCTAGTCTTCGTGCTTGTGAGCTTCCAACGCCCTTGTGACTTTGTTTATCGCTGTCTTTTGGTTTTGTTTCGAATAAAAGAACGGACCGTTGTAAGCATCGTGACCCGATTTGAGTCGGTGGGCCTAAAAAATTAAGTTAGACAAGTTCAACTGCTGAACGTTTGCCGACACTTGTTCCATGGCAAAGCAGCTCCAAACAAGGCAAAAGCAAACACCACCGAAAGTACGATGATTCGCCAAATCTGCGTAATGCCTGTCTCTATAATGCTGGCAGAAGTGCCGTGCGTTGCAGCACCCATAAACGCTAGCACCAGAGTTCCCTCTTGTGTACTTATTGGAAACTCTATGGTACAAAGAATACACCTATAAACTGCAATCGCTATGTGCACCAGAGTGTCATTGTCTTGATTAAGCACGTTAAAAAAAGTGCTCCTAAAGACGCAAATTTGAAACTCTAAATACGCAATAGTGAGAGAGCTCAACTGTGCAATTTTCGGTGACCTACAGCGGACGCGAAAGAAGACAAGAGTGGGTAGCAGAGACCAGAACATGTGATGACTCACTGGGTCTGCACTTGTAGGCGACCTCGGCGTACTTGTACACCCCAGGGCAAGGGTCAACCATAAAGGACTTGACATCAGTCTTCACCATGCACTCTCGTTTCTCTCGACACGCAGCCTCCACCACCTATGACGACATTGGTAGCATGTGAAAAGAGATATGTATCAGCGCGTCAAATTTATCAATAATCCGGTTCGCTGACAGTCGTTAACGACCATCCTCATATATTATTAGAAATACCTAATACAGCTTTTTATAAATTTAGTTAAAAGCATTCATCTATAAAAAGTTATTAGAACTTGGTTCAAAATAAGCTTTTTTTTTTTTTGCACTGGGAAGGTTTCGTCCTTCTTATTTAAAAAGCCTACAGCATCTCTCCTTCTCGAATACCAATGAGACAGTCGAAAAAAAAGTTTAAATAAGTAATGGGATAGTAGGCTGCAAGGTAGCCTCTGTTTTCTCATTCTTGAAGTCATTGAACACAAACGGAAATATTCAAAAGTCGCAATACCATTTGTGTGGGGGGTCATAAATGTAAGCACACGGGCAAAGGAAAAAAACGCGGACAGTGCTGTATCTATGTCATCTGCTCTATTGCATTTCTTCTCGCGTGGTTGTAACCTGGATGGCTGTAAAAAGCCTCCAAAGTCATCCATATTACGATTGAGGACAAATCTGGTGTAGTTTTATTGCCACCAAGATAAAATCGCAATATAAACACCACAACATATTGTTCGCGCTTTTTCTCTCACCCTTTTACGCGCATTTTAACCGGTTGATTACATGAGCGAGCTGATCTGATATCAGCGATTAATGACAGCAACCATCTGCGTGCAAGCTATATTTAAAAATGACTATATTTCTGTCTTCGCTCCGTAAACTCCTTTACTGGCTGCATGCGAAATATGTAAGTAAGAGACCTACTGTCTCTGTACTAAATGGGACACAAGAAGAATACGGAAGTTACAGCTCCAACTTGTATTCAGTTCCTAATATTTTGTTGGATAGGTGAAGGTAGATGCCGCCGCTATTGAATTGTCCTGGAGCACTTATTCCATTCACAATGTTTTCTCTCATCTGATTTTTTAAATATTTTTTCTCTTCTCTTTTCTAATCTACTCCTCAGATAAATGTGATTGGGCTTTCATTTTCCTTGTTGCACCAAATAATGATATAATTTTATTTTGTGAATGCCGACTTCACGTTATTGACTATCATCAGACTGCAGCATTACCAACAATCTTTAATTGAAGAACAACGTTCAACACACCCCGTCCTTCTTTTCTGCCTTTTTTTTTATAAAACAAGCTTCACTTTTTTTTATAAACAAGCACACCTAGTCATTAAGACTAGGTGTGCTAAAAAGTCGCCTCTGCAGGAATATTATTGTTTATATTAACAACTAACCAGAAAGCAGTACGAAGATTTAACTCGAGTTGCATGAAACTTTGTGTGCGTGCACGACCACGTCGTCACCACTACAACTCTTGTTTCTGTTCCTCTTTTCCCCGGTAAACGTTTGTGGCAAAAATTTGCCTCCCTCTATATCTCACTCTCGGCCTCCATCTTTACAATACCAAATGGAGCGGCTCGCTGAACTTTCTTGCGAACGTTCTTTGTAAATTAGTTAGTCCATTGACTCATTCTTACATGGTCGTATCATATGTTCTCGAAGATGTCAATCACTACAACAGCTCACATGGAGTGGAAAGTATAGTGGGTTGGACACCCTGCTCGCTTGTAAACAAACTGTGCCTCACCTAATGCCTCTATTTTGTTTTGCCCCACCTTCATGCTAGGGTAGCAAACCAAGTCTTGTTTCTTTGCAGGGACACCTTTTCTTCTCTTTTAGGAGCTTCCTCGAAAAGCTTATTATGCTCGGAGCAAGTCCCTTGGCGTTTGTGCCAGTTCTCGAGGTGACCACTAGAGGCGCAGCTGTGCAATGTACCCACTGCACACCAGCCACAACTTTTGTGACGGGACTCACCCGCTGTGTCATTGTTCATTCTGCTGAAAAGCGAAGTACCTACAACACATCTGAAAGCCATTATGTGCGCTTTGTGGTCCCAAGATGGCTTGTCGGCAGACAGACCCCGAAGTGAGAGCCCGCGAAGAAGAGGCGACACGCAAGCGGCGCAAAGAGAACCTCCAATCGGGACATGTATCGACATTGCCTTCCCCAACTTCCAATTGCCACTTGTAATTAATGATCTCCTGACCACATACTTCACCGACCACGAAAATTGTAATCTTCAAAGGAAAACGTGTCCCATAGCATTGTAATTGTTAATGTATCCTTGTGTACAATTGCATCGATATGTATACAAAAGTGTATATAATTAAACCCCGTCGCGATGGTCTTGTGGCTAAGGTACTCGGCTGCTGACCCGCAGGTCGCAAGATCAAATCCCGGCTGCGGCGGCTGCATTTCCGATGGAGGCGGAAATGCTGTAGGTGCGTGTGCTCCGATTTGGGTGCACGTAAAAGAACCCCAGGTGGTCAAAACTTTCGCAGTCCTCCACTACGGCGTCTCCCATAATAATATCGTAGTTTTTGGGACTTTAAACCCCACGTATCAATCAAGCGTATATAATTGAATCGATATGTCAACAAATATACATTGTGTGTGTATGTACATGCAATCACCCCTGTAACAACGTGCCACCTCTTTATACGACGGTAGATGACTTGTACGAAGGACTCACGAGTCCCCCTGACCAATTTCGAGCCAACTCCTACATCATCAGTCACTTTGTGGAGATGGCGGCATTTCTTTTTCTCGATTTCTCTATAGTCAATTGCGCAAAATACTAGGGCCCCGTGTACTACGTGATCTTTGTGCATGGTAAAGAACACTACATGGTCAAAATTTCCAGAGCCCTTCACTACAGGACCTTTCATAATCATATCGTGGTTCCGGCTTGTAAAACCCCACATATTACTATCGTTTGTCAGCCGCTAAGTCAGTATAATAACATTTGGCGTTTCACGTCTCGAAAAGGGCATGTTATGAGAGATGCCGTAGTGGAGGATTCCGGAAATTTCGACCTTCTGGCGTTCTTGAACTTGCACTGACATCGCACGACACACGGGACTCGACCATTTCACATCCTCCAAAATGGGACCGCCGCGGCCGTGATCGAACCCGCGACCTTAGGAGCAGCAACGGAGCCCCGTAGCCACTGATACACCCTGGCGGACAACTGCTAAGTTTCCTTTCTGGGTGCTCTGCTTGTTAGTGGCACATCGCGACGCTACTGGTTTCGCGAAACTTCGGTCTTTCGGTGGCGCAGCTTTGGTTGAGCACGTCTCTGAAACGCTCAACTCTTCTCACCTTGAGTGCCTCCTTGGCGATGCACTCGACGCTTCCGTTGTACTCTTGCTCCCGCCTGGCGCTCGTAGCGCCCCCTTCCTCGTGCGACGGCGGCGGGCACAGCATGTGATAGGGCACCGAGCGGCCGTACTGGGCCACCGAGATTGAGATGCTCGTGTTGCGAAAGCAGCGCAGCTGCAGCTCCTGACCGTCGCAAGCAAACTTCTGAAAAGTCTTCAGGGTGCCCGACAGCAGGGCTATAAGAAATGAGAGCGATGCGGGTTGTGAGCAGCTGGGTGACAGCAGGGGGTTCGCTTACGTTCTCGAGTTTTACAGCAGACGCTTCCTAGGTTTACAGCAGAAAGTTATGCTTGTCGTTGTTTTATTTCACACTCGCAAAAGGCATCGTCGTCCTGAATGGCCGCTACATTTATAGGGTGTATAACGCAGTATAACAGGGATGGTCCGTGCTCTCTCCATCCTCCTCTTCACGTTCTGCGTCACTCCTCATAAACTTGCGCCAAGCGCGCGATCTCCCAATGCGCCGATTTTTCCACCGCGGGATACTATACCTCGAGTGGGCGATATATTGAGTTTAAAAAGAGGAAAACAAAAACGGGAAATGCATAAATTGAAAGAAAGTGGGGAAAGAAAAGGTAGAAAAACATAGGAAGAAATACACGGAAACGTAGAGGGAGTGAGAAAGAAACAACCACAAAATTGAGAAGGATAGAAAGAGAGAAAAGAAGTGAAAACTTGAGCAAGGAAAAGAAAGGGAAGATATGGAAGGAATAATAGAAGCAGCAAGAAAAAGATACAACGATACAGACAGAGAGAGACAAATGAGACAGAGCTAGAAGAAAGACGTGGTGAATAATCAGCAAAAATTTAAAAAGCAGCAAGCCGTGGCTGCTACGCAAAATTTGTTTTTAAAAGTTCAATGAGTGTGTATGGAAAAGTACCTTCGTAAAATGTCACTTTGAAAAGCGTTCAAAACTGTATCACAGTGATTTTCAGCAATTGTGTCCTAAAAGCCATAATATCTCTTTGCCACAGGTAAGTTTATAATTGACAAATTAGGGGTCATCTAAAGTGGCTTCTCCTGGCTAAAATATCACGTACCTTGCCTAATCAATGGAACCGCAAATTAATAAAGTGTCTGAAGTCATCAATAAAAAGAACGTAGTCATATTATATTTGTTTAAAATGGTGGAATGTTATATATAATGCATATGCTATGCTGGAATTGTCTGAACTTTAAGGAGATTAACGGTAAATTACTCATTCAAGCGATCAGGAGATTTTCTACGCACATATTATACGAGCAACATACAATTTGTTCCTTTTTTTCTGCGTGACCGGAATCAAATTGCGACCAGAATCAAATTGATTCAGAAATTTTTGCCGTGGATCATAGTCACTGTACTGTCGCACAATAATGTATGCAAAATAATTACCCCTTTTGTAAAACGATTATGCAAGTCCACAGAAGCATCATACGCTTACGAAAAATTGTAAATATGAGTTAAGCTTTAAAGAAATCAGTCATATACAAATGCTGACGAATAGTTAGAGAGGAAGGGGGATAAAGAAACGCCTCTATGAAAACTGGGTTCTAGTTTCGCATGCTCACAAAAATCTGCTTCAACTTTACAAAATCAACAAGATGATACGCTCGGGAATTAGAGGGAGCAATAGGAAAATAGGTCGGATTGTGACACTGCCTCTATCCTATAGTTGCTGTTATGTATAAATGTTGTGCACAAAAAAATGACTTTTGTAGTTCTTTTTTCATTCACAATACGTTATTGAATACGTATGAGACACATACGAGGATAAGCTACTAAGCCTGTGGCTGTTTGGGCGCTAGAAGTAATTTACCAATGCAATTTTGGTCGTCATGAAAGCAGCTTCACATCTTCACATGAAAGAGACGACGAACAATACCCAAACAAATTTCACTTGCACAAAGCAGAAAGGCCCTTAAATTCGCGATATCCATACCCCCACGTCATAGAATACTGAATAGAATGCCTCGGAGGATTCAATTGTAAGCTGCCAAAGGAGTTCACTTGACTTCGTCTCCACACTTCTTTTTAACTGTAAATTCAAGCAACGGCATAGAAAAGATATTGGAAACGAATCTTCTGTAGAGAGGCTTTGTCTATCGCACGTTCCCGAGGATGCGAACGACTGCCTAATTGAATTTAGATTTACGTCAACGGGAGACATTTGGCTTTGTTTACGTTCACGGAACTGTCGAAGCAGCTCAAGCTAAAAGCGCCTTATTTGCCACGTTTCTCGTTCTTAAGGAGTTTAAGAATGAGAATATACTATTTATAACGTTTCGACTATTGCTATCCTGAGCATGTGACATGTTCTAGCATGGGATAAACGCGGCTTATTGTGTTGGCTAATACCACCAACACAATTTTTCGGGGGTGGGATCACCATGAGAAGTAGCTGCGCGAATAGACACGCACACACAACTCTTGTCGTACGAGTTGTGGGTGTCCAAGTTGGTGCTGCATTGCCCCATGGTGAAACTGATACCCGCCTGATAATTAAATCGATTGAAGTTTATCGCACTGTATGCCTTTTCGGAAAATGCATAAAAAAACATTTCCTGAACTTTAGTTTGGACATCCATGCACCTTCATGCGGAAAGGTTACTTTGAGAATTGGCACTTTCTCTCTCCTTCTTCGTCTCTGTGTTTCTTGCCCTCTCTCTTTCTTTCTCTATCTCTCCTTTTCATTTCGTAAGCCTACTTTTGTTGTGCAAGCTGTGGACATATACAAAACTGGACATGCATTCAGTTTACCAGCCTGCATCTTCTCCCTATTTTCTTTCTCCCTCTTCTCTCCTCTTTCCCTCTTTCTCTCCTCCTCGTCTTTACAACTCTCACTTCGGGGCAACTCAATTTTTCCGTATCGCTTTGTAACTTTTTGTCTTTACCACCATTATAAAAGAGTGAACTCGCCACCTTGTCGAACCTCCAATTCTAAATTTGGTACTAGACAACGGCTATCGTTCGTAATAAATTCTGCATTATCTATTTGCGAGCGCCTGTGACTTCAAGCTGCGGATGCGGAAACGCACGTATTTGTCGTTCCCGACGCTGGTGCTCCAGGATGTCATGTATATTATGCGCTTAAGCGGTTGATATCATGGAAAACAAATTAGTTCTGCTACACAGCGCTCACACGACCAGCCTTGTCGGCCATCGCTTATATTCTTTATTGTTTATAACGACGATAGTCTTCCTTGAAGTACTTCGACGCCACAATTTTGGTCTGTCTGTTGGTACACTTGTCTGCCCGCCGTAACGATGCTCCAAATGGCCTCAAAAGATATCCCAAACAGCCAACCCTATCCGCAGCGCCAACCAATATTGCGTAAGTTTCAGCGTTCATACTTGTGCGATTGTAAATTACAATAGCTATTATTGCACATATCTGAGGCACTATAATAACACGTCTATATTCTGTATGCGTCTCTTTATACTGGAGAAGGCATACATAAGTAATTCTAAGTACCGTAACATTTATCACGCTGCGCTGACAATGCAACGCAGTGCTCAAAAAGGCAAGTGTTCTTAATGCTTTGCTAAGACGACACAGTCGTGTCGCCTGCCCGTCGCTTTGCGTTCTTCACCTTATCGCCTCTGAGACGGGCGCGCACGCCTTCCTTCGTTTTCGAAGATAACTGCCAGATAGCACTCGTGTCTCACGTGTCTCGATGCGCTCGTTCGCCTTCGCTGCACGGATCGAGACTCGCTAACACAGCGCTTCCAGAATACAGTTCAACAATTTTCGCGCACAGAACATCGAATGAACGTTTAGTTCACTCTCTCCAGACACAAGACTATCGTCTTTCGATGACAATTGCATGAAGCATGCAGCTACTGGGCCAATTTTTTTTCTTTCACTTATATTACGTTTAGTCCCCTAGATAGCTTCCAAGCAATAAATCGTGCATATCAAAATTTGATGTTTTTGAAAAGATACTAAAGAAAAAAATTTTCTACGGGTAAAATACTTCTTGACGACACCAAAAACATAACGTTCGCTGTAAAAAGACGCTAAGTAAGAAAACGTGACTGATGACGCCACCTTGATGTTCCCACCCCAGTCTCCGTGACGCTAAAGATTTTTACGGCACCTGACCCACGTATAGTTTCCCAGTGAAAAATGGAGTATGTCGTCTTCTGAAAGCGCCAAAAGCTTAACAGACCGACTTTCGGGAAATTTCAGTGAACGCAATTGGCCAAAGTGCGAAAATGTGTCTGGAACTCATCACGTCACACTAGAGACTCTCCACGTCATCACCAGAATCACCAATTTACCACTATAGTGGCAGGAAAATTTTAAAGTGACAATTCTGAG